ATATATATATATATATATATATATATATATCCTGAAGTATTTATGGTCGCTAGTGCATTAATAAATATTACTTCATACAGTACCGAAAGATGAAGAAATTTTAGCTTAACATTTACCTAGTTTCCTCTGTAATTTTTAGTGGCAGAACAGTATCAATAGGCACCCCATTAACAAACGCAGCTCATAAACATAATCAGTTTCTTGTACCTCACGTAAGTTCTGATTCATAAAGTTTTAAAATTGTAGCTCGACCTTAACATTCACGCACATTTTCATTGTGTATGGTCATCACTTGACAACTGAGTAACTCCCTAAATTTTGACCATCTAAGCAATATGATCAAAAGTTTCATAAAATGAAGTTCACAAGACTTCTAATTTAAAAGGATCAATATATTATTTCCAGAACATTCTATATCTGCAACCAAATTGTCTCAACATCAACTGAATTAAAAAATATTGGGGCCATTTCTCATGTGCTTATTACTTCACCTCTTAAGCAACCCTTTGTCGCATTTACCTTGTAACTGCCACAACTAATTCCGACGTAGAGAAGTAAACAAGAAATAGGTACGAAAAACCCAATAAGGTCTGAAATAATGTTGCCGTTTGCTACATATAGAGAATTTTAAACTACCAAAATTGGGAAATCATGTCTAACAGACATGATATAATCATCAAATCTTAAGGCAGAGGAACTGGGATCCACGAGTGCGGGAGTACTGGTGTAAATTGACTCGTGCTCATCAGAAAGACCGTTCTGCTCGCATTAAATTCGGGAAGAGGTTGTCCTTTAGTTTCCACTGCTGCTACAAATAATGGAATACAAGTTGTCAGGACATAATTACGACTACCCTTTCTTGCTTAGCAAGATATATATCAGAAGAAACTCATGGCTGAAGACACGTGAATAGAAGAACTATAAACAGATTATTCAGGATCGAAGGAAAGTAACCCCTGAATCATTTGTACCAAACTACATCCAAAAAACCGAAGATGGACGTGGAATTTATTTTTCACTTGAGCACTAGAGAGAGCAGTTTCTGAGATAGAAGTTCTACTACATATTTGAACTTTTTGTCTGAGTCTAAAATATTAACAATCATGACAAAGTCTCCTCCATACTCCGTCAATTGGACCAAACCTTGGACTAAAATCTAAAATAGCAACTAAGAACACTTGTACTAATGACGATCACATGTTGTAAGAGACACACAAGCGAGGCAGTCGACGGATGTATTATCCATTTCCACCCTAAAAAAGCCTACGATTAATCTTTTCCCAGATATTCTATGAAAAAACAATAGGTTCCTTTTATTAACATACGACCTATTTTACAAAAAATTATGCAATGGACATCCCATTGGGAAAGGCTCAGTCACAAACCAAAATTACGAGCACTACCTTGACCAAATTAATTGTCCATATCAAGATGTTTAACGACCTGAAAAATAGATTCACACATGTATCAATATTAAAACAAGGTTACGAAATTCCTATGAATTTTGAGCAAATCATACATATACATGATATACAACTAATATCGTGAAAAAAAAAACTAAAAAGGATATTAAATACAGTTTCTCGTTGAAAGACTTACTTCTGCTGACGGCCCCATTGGCTGCAAGCACCTAAGGAATACAAATTGTATGAAAAGAACAGACTTAGAATGACCGGAAAATTTATGAAGACTAATCAACAATATCCAACATAACAATTTACCAAGACTACAGTTAAAAAGGGAAAGAAAAACAAACATAACAATTGCGTAAAATCCAAATAATAGAGAATAACACCTTTGGATCATGACGATTTTGGGGGCAGTTACTGCTGCGGTGCCCACGTTTATGACAGAGTGAGCACTTAGCAGACCTTATTTCACCTGTGCATCAGGAAAGAAACAATTTTTAATCACAAGATAGCGGATTAAGAAAGTAGAGTGAAACCTGTGACATTTCAGATTTGTGAAGATTGTATTGTAACAGAGATAGAACGAAAATATAAGTAGATTGTGAGCCCAAATATAGAATGGAAATCCCGAGATGTGTTAGCCAAACTATAAACATCTTCAGTAACAATATTATTAACAAAAATGTAAAAGTAAATTTAATCCAGTCTCCTGTTGAAACACTTACTTCCACTGGAAGCCCCATTTGCTACAAGCTCCTAAGAAATACAAATTGCGTGAAAAGATTAGACTTGGCATGACGGGAAAAGTTAGGATAACAAATCAAAAGTATCCATACATCTATAAAGATTCCAGGAAAAGGGAAAAACTTATATGACAATTGTGTAAAATTAAAATAATAGAGAAATCACACCTTACGCTTTTTTCCATTTTCACTTTGAGGGCAGTTATAGCCGAAGTGTCCATGTTCATGACAGAGTAAGCACTTCGCAAACCTTCCCCCTGCATCAGCAATTAAATAATTTTGAATCATTAGATAGCAGATTAAATAAAGTGAAACCGATTACATTTCAGATATGTGAAGATTGCATTTAATAGAGATTAAACTTATATAATGCAAGTTTCAGGCCAGTAGATAGCGAGTCCAAGGACAGAATGAAAATCCCTAGCTGTGTGTTATTCAAAATTCGTAACATATTCAATAAGGTAAGGTGTCTAATTATCTAATAGAAGTGAATGGCTAAACATCTGAGCTAATGAAGGAAAATAAAAATACTTATCACTCAAATAAGATCTCACCGATGGCCTGTAATAATAATATGTATAAAATTATTCAGCCAAGGTCATACATTTACAGGTAAGATTTGAAACATCATGTATTGCTGTTATGTAAATTTCAATAAAAAATTGCAAAATTACCAATTTGCATGCAAAACAGTTTTGACGCATGAAAATTAAAAATTCTCGAACTCAACTAAAAAGCATCCCATGAAAAGAACTTTTATTACTCAAATAAGATCTCACCGATGGCCTGTAATAATAATATGTATAAAATTATTCAGCCAAGGTCATACATTTACAGGTAAGATTTGAAACATCATGTATTGCTGTTATGTAAATTTCAATAAAAAATTGCAAAATTACCAATTTGCATGCAAAACAGTTTTGACGCATGAAAATTAAAAATTCTCGAACTCAACTAAAAAGCATCCCATGAAAAGCATTCAGATTTTAGCATACCGGCTTGAGAGACACCACATTTTCCAAGTGAATGACCAATTTTACCACAAAAGAAGCAGACTTCTTCTTTCTTGGAAAGACGTCTCAACCTCTTGCATTGATCTAATCTGTGACCAAGCTGTTGGCATGCCTCGCAACTCTGAACAAATCAAGTTACAATTTATACAGTACAACGGTTTAACCATATTAATCACAGAAGAAAAAATCGTTAGGAATTGTTCATAATTTTCCAGGCTACAGCAAACATCGAATTCAGTCACTACAGAAACTAAATTTGCAGAAGCCACTACATACCAAGGAACTATCACCATGTCGTTTAGAGGGAGATTCAGTGACTTTGAGATGTTCAGTTCTACGAACCGGGCTTTTAGCAGCTGGTTCTGCATTGTGTCTGCCCTGTAAATACCAAAGTACCGTTTACTAATAACAAAATCTAATAATATCAATCTCAAGAAACAGAAGAACATTGTTCCTTAGAATCTGTTAATGATTTTAGAGATTTCAGGTACATATAATACAACCACAAATGAAACTATATGGATCCTTCTACATACCATAGATTTTTTGGCTGTGGGTCTTTCTATTTTCTGAACTGCGGTTTCTGCATTTAGACCAGCATTGCGTTTCTCAGATTCTAACCCTTCGTTTTTTAGTGCACTGTTACTTTTCTTACTCTTCTTCTTCGTCATCTGTTCTGGGTCTACTGGGGTTGTAGGGTCTACTGGGGGATCTTGACCTGTTTGAATTGTTGGCTCTATTGAGGGGGCAGCTACATGATTACTCTTCTTATTTTTCTTACTCACCTTCTGATCTTGGTCTATTGGGGTTGCTGTGTCTTTTCGGGAAGCTTGGTCTGGGATTTTAGGGTCTATTGATAGTGCTACTGCAGGATATAAAAATCCCTGGACTGGCGTTTCAGGTGGCTTGCCATCACTGGATTCTGCCCCTTCAGGTCCAGGGCATTCTTCAATTATTCCTCGAACTGCAGGTGCATGGTTAGAACAAGTTTGAGGTTGAGGATGTTGTACATGTGATTCGCTCGGATTTGTCTCTTTTTTCTTTTCTTCCCTCGTTCTTTTTGTCTTTTGGACCTTCATTTGAGTTGCCATGTCTATTGAGGGCTCTAATTCAGGTTTAGAACTCGCTTCAGAATGCTCCCTGTTAACTTCAATTAGCTCTGCCTTTTCTAAGGCCGTAGTGGCTGCTGTGTCTAATTGGGGTGCAACTTCAGGTTGAGAACACACTCCAGAGTTCTCAGCGTTGGCTCCTGGCCCTTTCTTCACCTTACTTTTCAGTTTCAGGTCCAGGGTGCACTGTTGAGGGTTCTCTGTGCTATTGGACTCCTTTGGTTCTGGTTCTGATTCAGCTTCAGCCCCTTGAGACTTAAGGGCTTTCTTTTTTTTCCTCACAGAATCCTTTTTCGGGTCCGTGTCTTCTGGGGCTGAGGAATCAGGTATAGGGCGTTCTTCACTTATTCCTGATACCCCAACTTCATGAGCTTTAACTTGTTTTGCTCCTTCCTTCTTAACATCAGATTCCACACCTATCGAGATTGAGTGGTCACAAATCTGAAGTTGTTGCTGTTCACCTTGCACATTCTTCCCCTTCTTTCTCTTGGGAGTTGGGTTAGGGTTCTGTGTACTTGTCTCAGCTCTTTCAGAACCTTGATGTCCTCCTTCTGCATTTGGCACACTAGATTCCACATCTATCAGGATGGAAGGATCACATATTTGCTGTGCACCATGCAAACTCTCCTTCTTGGGATTTGGACTAGGGTTCTGTGCAATTGCTATAGCATCTTCCTTGGGGGGAACAACTGGGAGTGGTCCGTCTATTGTTTTGGGTCACAAACCCCCATTCACAACAGCATCAGCTCTTCCCCGTCCTTCTTCGTTTGTAACATCAGGTTCCACACCTATCTGGATTGAAGGGTCACATATTTGTTCACCACTTGGCCAACTCCTGTTCATGCAGGTTGGGCTAGGGATCTGTGCGGTTGCTTCAACATTTTCAGTAAGGGAAACGATTGGGATTGGTGTATCCAATAAGGGACACAAAACACCATTCTCATCAACATCACCTTCTCGTGATCCTACATCCTTAGCAACATCAGGTTCCAAACCTATCTGGATTGAAGGGTCACATATTTGATCTGCATCTTGCAAAATCTTTTTCTTCCTCTTCTTCTTGGGGGTTGGGATAGGGTTCTGAGCCATTCCTTCGGCCTGTTCCTCATGGGAAACAATTGGGATTGGTATATCCAGTAAGGGTTTAGGGTACAAACCCTCATTCTCATTAACATCACCTTCCCGTGATCCTTCATCCTTCTTAACATCAGGTTCTACACCTATCCGGGTTGAAGGTTCACATTTTTCCTCGGCACCTTGCAAAATCTTCTTCTTCCTCTTGGGGGTTGGGCTAGGGTTCCGTGCAGTTCCCTCAGCATTCTCCTCATGGGATACAACTGGGATTTTTGTATCCAGACCCAAACCCCCATTCTCATTAACACCATCTTCTCGTGATCCTTCATCCTTTGCAAAATCAGGCACCAAACCTATCTGGGTTGGAGGTTCATATATTTGATCTCCAACTTGCAAAATCTTTTTCTTTTTCTTCTTCTTAGGAGTTGGGATGGGGCTCTGTGCAGTTCCTTCGGGCTTTTCCTCATGGGAAACAATTGGGACTGGTGTATCCAATAAGGGTTTAGGGCACAAACCCTCATTCTCATTAACATCACCTTCCGGTGATCCTTCATCCTTGTTAGCATCAGGTTCCACACCTATCTGGATTGAAGGCTCATATTTTTCCTCTGCACCTTGAAAAATCTTCTTCTTCCTCTTCCTCTTGGGGGTTGGGCTAGAGTTCCGTGCAGTTCCCTCAGCATTCTCTTCATGGGAAACAATTGGAATTTTTGTGTCCAGTAAGGGTTCAGGGCACAAACCCCCATTCTCATTAACATCACCTTCACGTGATACTTCATCCTTCGCAACATTAGGTTCCAAATCTATCTGGATTGAAGGTTCACATATTTGATCTGCAGCTTGCAAAATCGTTTTCTTTTTCTTCTTCTTAGGGGTTGGGATAGGGCTCTGTGCAGTTCCTTCGGCCTTTTCCTCATGTGAAACAATTGGGATTGGTGTATCCAATAAGGGTTTAGGGCTCAAACACTCATTCTCTTTAACATCACCTTCCCGTGATCCTTCATCCTTCTTAACATCAGTTTCCACACCTATCTGGATTGAAGGCTCATATTTTTCCTCTGCACCTTGAAAAACCTTCTTCTTCCTCTTCCTCTTGGGGGTTGGGCTAGAGTTCCGTGCAGTTCCCTCAGCATTCTCTTCATGGGAAACAAATGGAATTTTTGAATCCAGTAAGGGCTCCGGGCACAAACCACCCGTCTCATTAATATCAACTTCTCGTGATCCTTTATCCTTCGCAACATCAGGCACCAAACCTATCTGGATTGAAGATTCACATGTTTGATCTGCAGCTTGCAAAATCGTTTTCTTTTTCTTCTTCTTAGGGGTTGGGATAGGGCTCTGTGCAGTTCCTTCGGCCTTTTCCTCATGGGAAAGAATTGGGATTGGTGTATCCAATAAGGGTTTAGGGCACAAACATTCATTCTCAGTAACATCACCTTCCGGTGATTCTTCATCCTTTTTAAGATTAGGTTCCACACCTATCCAAATTGAAGGCTCATATTTTTCCTCGGCACCTTGCAAAATCTTCTTCTTCTTCTTCTTGGGGGTTGGGCTAGGGTTCTGTGCGGTTCCATCAGCATTCTCCTCATGGGATACAACTGGGATTTTTGTATCCAGTAAGGGATCAGGGCCCAAACCCCCATTCTCATCAACCCCATCTTCTCGAGATCCTTCATCCTTCGGAACATCAGGCACCAAACCTGTCTGGATTGAAGGTTCACATATTTGATCTGCAGCTTGCAAAATCTTTTTCTTTTTCTTTTTCTTAGGGGTTGGGATAGGGCTCTGTGCAGTTCCTTCGGCCTTTTCCTCATGGGAAACAATTGGGATTGGTGTATCCAATAAGGGTTTAGAGCACAAACATTCATTCTCATTAACATCACCTTCCGGTGATCCTTCATCCTTTTTAACATCATGTTCCACACGTATCCGAATTGAAGGCTCGTATTTTTCCTCGGCTCCTAGCAAAATCTTCTTCATCCTCTTCTTCTTGGGGGTTGGGCTAGGGTTCCGTGCAGTTCTCTCGGCATCCTCATGGGAAACAATTGGGATTTTTTTATCCAGTAAGGGTTCAGGGCACAAACCCTCATTCTCATTAACATCACCTTCTCGTGATCTTTCAACCTCCGTAACATCAGGTTCCACATCTTTCCGGATTGAATGCTCACATATTTCCTCTGCACCTTGCAAAATCTTCTTCTTCCTCTTCTTCTTTAGGGTTGCGCCAGGGTTAAGTACATTTGCTTCGGCATTTTCCACATGGGAAACAATTGGGACTGATGTATCTACCAAGGGTTTAGAGTACAAACCCCCATTATCATTAACATCACCTTCTCGTGATCCTTCATCCTTCGCAACATGAGGTTCCACACCTATCCGGATTGAAGGGTCACATGTTTCCTCTGCAATTTGCAAAATTTTCTTCTTTCTCTTCTTTTTTGGGGTCGCGTCAGGATTCAATGCAGTTCCTTCAGAATTTTCCTGATGGGAAACAATTGGGACTGGTGTATCTAATAAGGGTTTAGGGAGCAAATCTCCGTTACCATTAGCATCACCTTGTCGAACTCCTCCTCCCTTTGTATCATCGGATTCCACACAAACCGCAATTGAAGGCTCAGATGCCTGAAGTTGTTGATCACCATGCACATTCTTAATCCTCTTCTTCTTCTTCTTGGGGTTTGGGCTAGCATTATCTGCAGCGGCTTCAACATTTCCCTCTTGAGAAAATGGTGAGTCTACTAAGGGTTTCGGGCATACCTCAGCCTGAAACTGTTCGTTTGATCCCTCGTTTCTTTTCTTTCTCTTTTTCTCCCTCTTCACAGTGGCGCCAGGTTCCGGAGAAGATAGTGTTTGAGGATTTTCCTCCGCATTAACGGAGGACTCGCTCAACTTGTTGCCATGGCTATCGATTACAGCCATAGCATCAGCTTAATGAATTGAAACACTACAGAGGACTTATAAGGCGAAGGTGCTGCTTAGCTAAAGCAACCGGCGCAAATTAGGGTTTAATTCGGGGTTTTTCTTTGTCAGAGGAATTAAATTTTTCTCCTTTTTTTTCTAGAATGAAACTGCAATTTGTAAGGGTTTTTTAGGGATATCCTTAATTCACTGCTCAATCTTACGACTTTGCCACCAGTAAAAATTAATTGACACAGTTAAGAATGGATCACCAGAATTACAGTTCAAACAAAAAAAATTAAAATGTTTATAATCAATGGAACTTTTTTAAACAGGTTTAAATTCACTTTTAATATTCCTAATTTTATAAGCCTATAAGATTACAACACATTTAGGGTTACTCCACTCGAGTATGTTTTCCTCAAACCACATTATATTTATCTTATCAAGTGAAAACACGTTTTTTTTGTGATAATAAATAACAATAAAATTATTATTATTATAATTATAAAAATAAATATGTTATATAATTTTATTATTGATATTTTTTATTTATTTTATCAATTATACTGGAGCAGAAGTTTAAAATTGTCTAATAAAGAAAATTAAAACTTGTCTTGAATTATTTTTTCAATTATCAACAAAGTTACAATGCACGCTAAATGCGGGTCTTTGCTTGTTTTGTCCTTCAAATCTTTTTAAATTTTTCTCCTAAATAATGAAATTTTCCCAAAAAGAATTTAAAAAAAAATCTCCAAACAGAGTGTTTTCACACAAAATTATAAACTTAAGATATTTTTATATTAATAATATTAATTTTACTAAAATTAATAATTTAAATATAACACTACTTCTACTTGTATTATTACTGATCTAGATTATTCAAAATAATATTTTTTTTCTTTAAAAAATGAAAAAAAAAATCATATCAAAATTATATTTCGAGTCGAATCTTCAACTGTTTCATGGCCACTACCCTATNCCTTGCAAAATCTTCTTCTTCCTCTTCCTCTTGGGGGTTGGGCTAGGGTTCCGTGCAGTTCCCTCAGCAATCTCCTCATGGGAAACAAATGGAATTTTTGAATCCAGTAAGGGCTCCGGGCACAAACCACCAGTCTCATTAATATCAACTTCTCGTGATCCTTTATCCTTCGCAACATCAGGCACCAAACCTATCTGGATTGAAGGTTCACATGTTTGATCTGCAGCTTGCAAAATCGTTTTCTTTTTCTTCTTCTTAGGGGTTGGGATAAGGCTCTGTGCAGTTCCTTCGGCCTTTTCCTCATGGGAAAGAATTGGGATTGGTGTATCCAATAAGGGTTTAGGGCACAAACATTCATTCTCAGTAACATCACCTTCCGGTGATTCTTCATCCTTTTTAAGATTAGGTTCCACACCTATCCAAATTGAAGGCTCATATTTTTCCTCGGCACCTTGCAAAATCTTCTTCTTCTTCTTCTTGGGGGTTGGGCTAGGGTTCTGTGCGGTTCCATCAGCATTCTCCTCATGGGATACAACTGGGATTTTTGTATCCAGTAAGGGATCAGGGCCCAAATCCCCATTCTCATCAACCCCATCTTCTCGAGATCCTTCATCCTTCGGAACATCAGGCACCAAACCTGTCTGGATTGAAGGTTCACATATTTGATCTGCAGCTTGCAAAATCTTTTTCTTTTTCTTTTTCTTAGGGGTTGGGATAGGGCTCTGTGCAGTTCCTTCGGCCTTTTCCTCATGGGAAA